TGCAAGTCTGTGTTGCCAGTAAACTCGATGGATGAAAATAGGAACAACAGCATGTATGATGGAAGTATTTTAAGTGCAAAAATGTATCTAATATTTGTCAGTAAGCAAAATAAACGTGAGTGCTAGAGAAGGAAGGCATCAAATTTTTTTTTTTGAGCGCTAGACATTTGAGCATTTTTTTTTTTCCCCCCACAGTTTTGTGGTATAAAGTTATACTTCTAGCATGTTTAAACTTTGACATTATTAAATGAATCAGTAATTGTCATTGTCCACAGGCTGATTTTTAAATGTTGCGTAGAATGGTTCTTAAAACATGTAGATGAGGAAAAGTTCAAGGTTCTCTCTCCCCTGCCTAAAGAATATACGCTGATTGAATACAAAATTGACGTGACTAGCAGAATTTTGCTGTTTGCCAGCTACTGAAGATAGCAGTTTTCCATTATAGAGTGTGTTCTCTGGCCAAACAATTGAAAATAATGAATATGGTGAAAATACTGATCTTACCTTTGTGATGAGCTTTTAAAACTTTTAAAAATCAGTTTTGCATCAGGCCACTCCCATGTATTTAGAACAAGAAACAGTGGGAAATCTTTCAGTCTTTTCTCATAACTGAGATCCTCACGCCCTAGTAAGAAACCAGATTCTAGTCCAATCTTAATAATCAGCCATGCAAGGAGGAGTAGTAGCAACGTATTGTACAGCAACATGCTGAACCACAGCTCCATCTTGCAGCGTGTGTGCGGTCTGACAGCATTATTTTTGACCTTGCCATCACGTGTGAGAGGATGTGGGTCTCCGGTCCTTGGGTACCCGTATGTGAGGTTGGGATTACTACTGCATGTGCCTGGTTTCCGGTTAAACTGCTTTTACTTTGGCGCGCAGAGATGCGCAGCTACAGTCCTGAGCAAACAGTTCAGCTGGGATGTGAGCAGCCGTGGGCTGGCAGGTGGCAGAGCGAGGTAGGCAGGGATTTCTGGCAGCCAGTAGTCGGAGTTGTCTTTCATTCTGCATCACTGACTTTCTGTGATTTTTATTTTCTCCCCCCTCCCCCCCCCCCCCCCCCTTTCCTTTTTTTGTTCGCTATCAGGAAAGCTGGAAATGTAGGGTGCAGATGGGAGACCTCTGGCATCTTCCGAATCTGTGGCACGCTCCCAAAATAGTAACAGCTAGCAGCAGAAATGCCGGGACAGGGAATGTTTGTAGAAATGCCTGGCTCTGTTTGTGGTTTTGATTGTGTGTCAGTTGCCGCTTGTGACTTTTGAAAATGGTGGTTTTGCCTTGGAGATGTTTTTCTTTCCTACTAATTGCAGGTTTTGGGGTTTTTTTTGCATTTGATGGGGTCATTTTACTTCTGAAGATCTGATTCCCCCCCGCCCCGATATTTAACACTGGCTTTTTGCTGCAGCTCTAGCTGTTTGGACAGCTTCTGAAGAAATTCGATGTGTGAAAAATAATGAAATTAAAAGCTTCTAGAGAATGCATAGATATTGATAGCAAAATAACAGGTTTTATTTGTTTTAAGCTTTGTGTTGGTTGTGAATAAGAAGAGTCATAGGGTTTTTCGGTTTTATAGTTTGGTTTTTTTTTTTGACATGCCTAATGCAAGTTAAACAACGTACTGGCATTTTCTGTTCAAATTAGTTGTATTTTTGTTGGAAGAGGAGACTATCTAGGACTACCAAAGCCTGCTTCCAAATTCTGGGGTAGGTGCAGTTTGTGCAGGATAAGGCCATATGAATGTGTGTGCTTAGTTAAGAATTTATCTGTCTCTTGTCTTTGTTGCTGTATCTGTTGAACAGACATTTCTGCTTTGATCTTGCCGTGTTGTTAGATGTACAAGCAAAATCTCATTGATTTTTATTGCTAGTTAAAGTGCAGATGAGATTAACATTAAACAAGTTAATCAGCCTTTATGTGTAGTTCCTCTGTTTTGTGAAATTGTGACGTCTGGCCGGTGGCTTTCTCCTGCTAAACTAAGTTTAGTTAGAACTGAATTGCATGCAATTAAGTATTAGTCATGCTAATGTTAAATAATGCATATGAGAAATGATACATGATGCAGACTAATAGTTCTGTGTCTTGAACAAGTACTTTGTAGTGGTGATACGGGAAGCTCGTGTTTGAAAATAAGTGGCTATTATCAAATAGAGGTTTTGGTTGGAAAGATAAGATAATAATCACATGTCAGTTTTCGATTTCCATGAGACATCAATCAAATGGGCTAGGGCATAGGGCAGTAAAGCAATTTAAGTTTTGTTTTGTGTTCTGCATGTAACTGAGACCAGGATTTTTGAAAAGATCCACTAATTTTGTGCGATTCTGTACTTTTGTCCTAGTGTTCCTAATATTTAGGGTCTAAATATTCAAAGGTACCGAGTATTCACAGTTCTAATCAGATTTAGTCAATTCAGATGAACATTGGCTGCTAATCACTGTCTGAGTACTGTGTTCGGTAATTGCTAACATCCTGGATTTAGTCCTATGTTGGAATTTTTCTGTTGTAGAAAGCAAAATTGCAGTCCCATTCTTGGGCAGGGAGAAGACTTTTCTTTGTGGATTTCTCTAGAAGTTTGTTCATGAGCATGTGAAGTAACATTTTTATAGCTCTCCTGGAGTCCCTTTTGCTGTGACCATGTTACACTGTTTACCTTTAAAAAGTGGGTCTTTCAGACATGCAGTACTCTTCAGACTGAAACCCTGAGAGGGTTGCGCATGGAACCCGAGTGATTTTACTTGCAAGTAGGGCTAGTATCCCTGTCCTCTCAGGTGGGATACCTGTGTCTTGTGGGCACTTGCACTGGAAAAGTGTTTCTGCCAAGGACTGTAGAAGAAACGGAACTGTGAAAGTGTGGGTATTTCCTTCTTACACCAGAAATAATGAGTTTCTGTTAAATGCCTGCAAACAAGTGAAACGATCAATGAGCCCTGTTACAATTGTGGCTTATCGGGGTGAAGACATTTGTTTTGTTTCTGCCTTTAAAATGGCAGAAACTAATATTGTAGTTTCAAAAGGGGTAGAGTTCCCTGTTTGGGTTACAAACTATCCAAGGTAGAAGAAATCAGTAAATACAGTAAGCTTACCAACTTAGGCTCATTTTTCCACATTGCTCTTCAGCTGTAGCACAGTTTCTGTTTCCGAGGCTTAAATGTTTCTTCTTGTCCCCTTGTTAGAAATGAAGCAGCAGTAGTTAACTAGTCATGTATCTGTATTCCTGGAAAGCTCCGGTAAACTTGTTCTGGGACAGTAAATTGCTTTTTGTTCTTGGAGATTATTACAATGAGCCGTATTAAAGGTGGTAATTGCATTGATTTGGCATAGTCACGTTATGTGAGTTGTGCCAGAAAGTGATTGCACGTGGCATTGCGGTGGCCAGGATGATGTGGATCCTAGTGGATTTTTTTTTTTTGCTGTTCAAGCTAAGCTCTGTCTTTACCTACCTTTGACCCCTACTCACGGTGTTTTCACTGTATAGTTTTAAAAAATACATCATGCACCAAGATCCTGGCTGGCTTTAAACTGGTTGCCTTGGGCCTGGTAGGAGAGAGTACAGTTCTGTGCTCAGCGCCATGGCCGTCTGTGTACCTGAAGGAGAAGACCAACTTTGCTTTTTAGGTCAATTACACGGTTCCAAATCTTTCAGGGTGATGAGAGGCTAACACTGTAGGCCTTACAGGGAATGCTGGCTTAGTGAATATTTTATTTTGTA